CTCCTCTCCTTCTGTTTATCTCTGACCACCACTCATATCAAGAATTATACCACTTCCTGTTTCTTTTGCCACCTTTCCTTCTTTTCTATTCTTCATCTTATTTTTACCATCTTTTTCTTCTTTTCTTTCCTCCCCCTTGTCTGTTTTTTTTTATTTCAAAAATTCATCACGAATAAATTTAAATAAATTTATTATAATGGTATCTTAATTCCGTTTCTATGAAATATCTTGCCCTGTTTATTGTAAAAACATTGAGCTCTATGTGTGAATCAGTTTTAATATTTAACATTTAATATTTTATATTGTGTTAATAGGATTCACTTGGATTATATACCAACAGGATTACGACACACACAAATATATATATATATATATATATATATATATATATATATATATATATATATATATATATAATTTTTTTTATTACTTCAAACGTTATTTTTAATGGATACCTCTGTTTGAAATAGACGCCCCGTTTTTTATTTTAAATAATATGTGCATGCTGATAGACGTAATGCACAACGTCTAAAATACAAACAGGGCGTCTATTTCAAACATGGGTAGCCACTAAAATAACGTTTAAAGTAATACAGACACAGTATATATATATATATATATATATATATATATATATATATATATATATATATATTGTACAGAAAGATTGTCCACGTATATTTCTTGCAGATATAGTAGTTCAGTGTGATAAAATCGAAAAGCCTGTATCCACGCTGACTTACTCCATGGCAGGACATGACTTCTGGCACATGTCATTGTATAAATGCAGTTTAAAAAATCATTCAGCTCTGCTCAATGTCAGAGGCAAGATTTATTACACATCAAATAAATTTTTAAAAATTCAATCAAATAAAATCTGAGCAGTAACTATAGTTCAACTCATTCCAATGAAATAAGCATTCTCCTTACATTAAACAAAAATGTATTTGTATCAAGATCTATGGCAAATTCACAAAGTTAGATAGAAATCTATTCATTAAATTATTATTATTTACACAGCTTACCATTGGATTAATGTCCTCGTCTTTGTTGTTGTTAACACAATGCTTCAGCTGTTATACCCGCTGGCTTTCTTCCGGTGTCTGTCCACCCAGGTATCCTTAAAGAAATTTCAAATTAAAAACTTTATTTAATCAATGGTGGTAGATTGTTCTCATTCCACTGTCTATATCATCTTATCACACATTGCCAGTCCTCTAGGATCCAGTTAGCAACATGATGAACTCAGATGAGTTGCAGTGTCTGGTATCGTGGTATTTACAGGAACACCCTGGTGGGCCTTCTGCTCTCATACCTCATGGAAGCTAAAGAATGTAGCACTGACCTGCTGGATATGTGTCTAACATCTCCTCCATAGAATGTGGATGTGATTTGAGCTAGTGTCGCTTCTCTGTCACGGCGGTCAATTCTAGCCAAATGCTTACTGTCTCCGTTATTAAGGAACCGCGGTCGGTCACTGTTCCACTGGGGAATGATCAGTACTACCTTCCATCAGATATTCCCGATACGTATGTGATACCATAAATCGAAGTATGACAAATGTCCCCACAATTACAGAAATGGAATACTCCATTTCTCTTGTACCCATTTTCATGCCTCGGTCTAACACCGATAATAGACATCATTTGCTAAAATAATTTCTCGCATAATAATTATTATATTTTTGTATATGAAATGTGCATGCAAGTGTAAAAATGCATTTCTGTGATATTTTAAGAACTTAGATAACATTTGTTTCAAATCAGATTAATGATACTTTAAATCAGCTAATGTTCCTCAAATAAAGATTCAGACAAGTATATTTTATTTTTGAAAGATTATTTAATAAAGAGAATTACATTGCAATGAAAGACGGCTAAAAAGGGGCGATAATCAGTCATTTTTAGCAACAAAAATCTCCTTCAAGTTAATTTAAATTAGTTTTTGATATACAGCAAAGTATTTTGCTTATTGGAAATATTAAAATCTAATCCATTAGTTTGAAATTAAAACTAAAATAAAAACTTCAAGGAAGACATTTCACTTTTAAAAATTCGTTTAAACCTTAGGTCTAGCGTTTTTTGTAGAGGTTCCTATCGTAAAGTATTGATGATTATGAAAATAAAAGAATAAGTATTAATTCTCCTTTATTCATGAAGTCAGTCGTTTTACTAATACAAAAATTTTATTCACTACCAAATCTAAGTTCTTATGCTAAACACAAAAACTTAGTAGGAATACCAAGTCATAGTAGGCGTAAGTCAATAAAAAATAAGACTCAAACACTGCGCAATTTTTTAAAGGAATCACATTTATTATACAAGTACGAAAAAGATACAAAAACAAACTTTGCACAAAATTTTTCTTTTGTTTGCCTATTTTTATTCTGATAAAAGGATTACCATCGAAAGATGAAAAAAATTACAGTTTGGGAAAAGACAAAATTTCTGAAAAATGACAAAAAGAGAAAACACTTCAAGAAGGCAGGAGCAAAACAAAGGTGCTCAAATATTTGAGAAAGAAAAAAACCGAAACACCTACTTTTAAACGTGCGTTTCTGGGACATATAGTAATATTTGAAAAGACCCTTTTAAATTCACACTTCGTGCTTGTGAAAAATCCATTAAATTCTTTTTCATTCATTGTTGTCAAACCACAGGAGAATTTTCAATTGAACTTCAAAATTCTTTTGTATCTCTTCTGTTGGTTGGTAACTGGTGCCTTCTCGATGCTCTCTTCTTCAAGTCAAATACCTTTTCCGTTCTTGATATTGATTGACCTTGTCCCTTTGCTCTCAAAATGTCTTCTCCCTTTGTCCACTGACTTGAGTTCTATTTATTCAAAAATTTAGGCTCACGGAAGGCTCCATTCAAGTTTTCACAAGGGCATGAGACCGTGGCTTGCATTGACAACAACATATGGAAAAACTTTTCCATAAACTTTAAATAGATCTTTCATAATTGTGGCGGGTTTTCAACTGCTGAGCTGAAAAAGATATACAAGTGTAACCATTTTTTACACAAAATGCCTGGCCTTCATAAAAATACAGTGTAACCCGGATATAAGAGACCCGGATATAAGAGAAACCCGGATATAAGAGCGATTTTCTCTGGTCCCAAATTAGAGCCTGTGTTAATGTATATAAAATAGACCAAACATGGATATAAGAAAAACACGGATATAAGAGACTTCTTCTCCGGTCCCGACAACCCTCTTATATCCGGGTTACACTGTACATTTCTCTCAAAAGAACGTGTACTAAAAAAAAAAAAAAAAAAAAAAACGAGACGATTAAACATTTTTTCAAGACTAATATTTTTTAAAGTAGTAAAATAAATTTGTTATACTAACACTAAATTAGTGAATGTCAAATCCAGTTCGGAATTATTAGAATAGAGAAAATAATCTTGAGGTAGAATACTTCTGCGTATATTTTGCATAAATCTGACATTTCGAATTCGTGTACGTCGTTATTAGTTTTCAAAATAAGATAAATGTTAAATAAAGCTAGTTATATCTTTTTGTTCGCGTGTCCTTTTATGACATTAAAGTCCAACAAGAATAAAAGAAAGATACAAACAAAAAACTGAATCTACTGTCATGGATTCTTTCAAAAGTGACCTTGAAAAAGTAGTAGGGTGAAGACATCTACAATTTTCTTGCTGTGTATATATTCTAAATTCTAATTAAGAGACGCAAATATATTCAAAACTAAGTCATTTTTTTTTCAAAATGAATATGTTAAAGTCAGCTTAACAAGTACGAATGCTCTTTCTCTCTCAACATAACAGGGTTGGTGGTTGTTTTTATTTAGTGGCACATCAACACCTCTATTAGTTATTTAATACAGAATTTTAAATATTTTGTACGCAATTCTATTTTTTCTTTGGGTATAATAATGGTTTTAGTGATACAAGTCTTACTAATCAGCCCATAGTTGGTGTGGGGGAGAAGAGGTGGTTTCATATCTTTCCCAAGGGTCAGTAATGGGCCATGCGTGATACACACTTAGCCGATCATGTATCTTTCGATACATGACTGACGAGGCAGATTTTTGCCTGCAGTAGGTTGCCATTTCTTTCTGCAGTAGACCAGTTGCCATCCAAGGCTGTAGAACCCGGTCTGTCCTGCTATTTACCCATATCTGGGGGGAGAAGAAGAGGATTCACATCTTTCCCAAGGGTATTAGCACATAGGTGATTGTAATGGATTCGACTGGAATTCGAACTCGACTCCCCGATTCCTCAATCCGAGCCTCCGTGCCTCCTCCCAAATTTATTTGCGCGTAAGTGAATATAACAAATTGGAATTGGAACACGGCTCTCCGATTAACAATTCTGGACCATTATCCATTACACCACCCGCACACCGAAACTTACAGTACCTGGTATTCCTATGCGGTCACCCATCTAGGTACTGGCCATGCTCGACATTGCTTAATTTCGGTGATCGTATCTACCTAACAGGAAGCAAATACCTCCCACATATACCTCCCAGAAATACCTCGCATATAATGGTAAAACATTAGTGGCAATAGTGTCTTCACCGATTAATGTCTTGCCACTATGTGGGCGGTATATGTAGAAGGTATTTCAGTCGTAAACATGACGTTTCAAAATTTAGCCATAAGCTGCATAGTTAGTAACTGCGCGAATTTGGGGAAACATAATGAGGAAAGGATGCTTGGAGAATTTGGCACTCACAGGATATATTGAAGGCAAAGTGAAGAGAGGTGAAACAGTAGAGTAATCTATGAAACAAGTTTGTGTAAATTGATGCCTGATCAAATGAGTGGGACAGACAGTAAAAAAAAAGCCATTGTTCCGACCGACAAAGGACAGAAAGTTGTGTAGAGATTTGATCGCCCACGTCATAAAAGAAAAAAATGACCCGGAAAAGCATGTAGCTAATCCGCTGATTATTCAAAGTAAAGAAAATAAATCTATCTGTCCTATCCAATTCTTAATAATTCTATTAACGATTTAAAATGCAGAAAAGACTTACGGCCATAGCACATTGAAACACCGGTTCCTGTACGACCACCGAAGTTAAGCAATGTCGAGCCTGGTTAGTACCTAAGTTGGTGACCGCCTGGAAATACTAGATGCTATATGTTTGTATATATGGGCGGTGTAGTGGATAACGGCTCAGAATTGGAAGTTGGAGAGCCGAGTTCCAATTCCAATTGGGTTTGTTGTATTCACTTACGGTATGAATCCACCTGTTCTCCCTTTAGCTATGGGTTAATTAATAGGACTTGTATCAGTAAATCATTGTCTCAAAACAATTCTTACAATCTACAAAGAAAATGTTTTCTGGCTTTAAATAACCTGGGAAAAGGTTGATAAACCGTAAAACACAAATCAATCAATCAACAAGTCAGAATTATTTCTTTGTTATTATCATTTCTCAAGAGTAAGTTTTCGTCAAAGGAGGTAAATCTGGTTTGCCTGGTGTTAAATAAAACCTTAGGACAGTAGTACTCAAATTCTTTCCTCCCATTACCATAAAAAACATGTGCTCATGCCCCTGATTACTCAGCGTACAAAAATCTACCTACCCTATCCTATTCTTAATGAAAGGAAGTCACGACACTAAATTCATTATATTATTATAGTATTACACTCTATATGTTGTTTAACGACATAGTAACAATTATAGGTTGGGTCACTAATTAAGACAGTCCTCCTGGCTATGACTATAAACTACATCCGGCAGCAAGGCCTGTGATCGGGTGGTTTTGAGGAGCGCCGAACCACCTTTTAATTGCTGTTGTTACCAGGTTCAACCTGACCCGAGATAGTAGCACTTGTTAAAGTTCCAGCTACGGATAAATCTCCCAAAAAGAAATCAAAACACTAGGAAAGTATAAAATATATTTTTATAGTAAAAATACCAGTAATACATACTTAGTAAAAATTAAATTACCAACACTATATTTTTATTTAAAAAAAAATAATTACCAACAGTACATTTTTATAGAAAGATGACCAACAATACAATCATACTTATTATAAAACCCAGGTTGTGTGTGTGTGTGTGTGTGTGTGTGTGTGTGTGTGTGTGTGTGTGTGTGTGTGTGTGTGCGTCTGTTCGTTTATATATTGGATCAGATTTCCTACATTTTTCAACCGATTTCAACAAAACTTCACAGGACTACGTAAAATTACCTTGCGGTGGTTCTGACAGTGCCAAAAATGGGAAAAACACAATTGTTTTTGCACGAAATCAATTTAAAAACACGATTAAGAGGCATCGCGAGAATGAAAGAGGGACAACTCATATCGAGTTATACTTATTATAAAACCCAGGTTGTTTGTGTGTGTGTGTGTGTGTGTGTGTGTGTGTGTGTGTGTGTGTGTGTGTGTGTGTTCGTTTATATATAGGATCGGATTTCCTACATTTTTCAACCGATTTCAACAAAACCACTTTTTTTGGCAGGTAGTGTTCCTTATTGTCTTGCACACTTTTTTCTTTAGTTTTACATTCAGAATGCTTTAAAAATTCCATTTACAAGACAATTTTTTATAATAAAATTCTATTCAATCGATAGACTCATAACGATTGAAAACAATGTTTTTGTTTCAGTATGGGTTTGACCAATTCGTAAAAAAAAAAAAAAAAAAAAAACTAATTGAGACATGCGTGTCCGTCAACCTTAAACAATAATCTTTGTCAATTTTATTTTTCAGTCTTTATGATGGTCGATACTTGATCTATCTCTTACTGTTACATACCCGGGCAACACCGGGCTCTACTGCTATTTTATAATAAAATTGAAGATATGACATACATTGTCAAAATTTTTTTTTTTTTAAATTTGCTATGATTAATCTGATTTCTTCTAAGGATTATTTTCACTCCTCACTTGATTTTGTAAGAGTATTTGATTAAAAAAAAAATTGCAGCTAATTATAACTTTATCATTAGTGTCATTATCTTGAATTATAAAGTTTTAATTTTCTTATTTTAGATTTTGGCATTAAATAACCCACAGAGGCTTTGATATGCCGCTAAACACAAACAAACAAACAAAACTAATTAAGAATAGATTTGTAATAAAATTAATGAAAAGGGTGAAAGTGAGATTCTTGTTTTGTTTTCGGTTTTTTTTTTTTTTGCGGTTGTGGGGGGGAGCAGCTGAACTCACATTGCGCGGATTTGTTATTGACAGTGAAAACCGCAAGTCTGGGGTCACGTGGAAATGAAGTCGGCATTTATTTTTCATGTATTGTAAAAAAAAAAAAGTTACTTCACAACAGCATGTGAAAAATGTTAAGGTTGTTTGTACCAGTTTTGGGTACATATTACATTTTGTACTGAATTGCACAAATATTTTTTTTTATATTATGGCCAGTTCGTGAATGCATGATTGTGTAGAGTCACGAAATGCAAACTCGGCAAGTCAAGTTCGAATTCTAGTCAAGTTCGTTACATTTACTTACGTGTAAATACCCTTAGGAAAGATAATGCATCCATATCTTTTAGCGTGAAGAGAACAGACGAGAAGGAAGACTCTGAATTCAAGCCAAGCTAAAGAGGGTTGAGTTGAGTCAGGCTCTCTTACTCAAGACACACCACTCCTACTACAGCTGCAGAATATGAGATACCCCCAACGACTCTCCTGGGATTCGTGATCGTGAAATTGGTATACGTTACTTCGCTGACAACAAACTAATCAAATTTCAAAACTAAATTGTTTATCCATTTAAAATACTACATTTATAAAAATTATATTCAGTTTAAATGCAAGAGTTAATAGAAATGACTTCAAATGGTAACACATTTTGTCTTGTACTATTTTCTGTTACCCAGTTCTTGTTGTCAGAGAGAAAGGTAGCCCCCGATACATATATATCTATTTCGGTTTCATTCAGTGTGTGTGTGTGTGTGCATTTTAATTCAATGACAGACCTAAAAATATTTCAACAACGTTAAAAAGAAAAAAACATTTTTTTAAATAATACTAAATAGTATTATTTAAAAAAATGTTTTTTTACGAAACAATTTACGAAAAAATTCAATAAAATCTGATAAGAACCTGATTTTTTTAGTATTTAAAAAAATTAACGCATTTTTAAAAATAAATCTCCAACGTTAAGACTTTATTGTTCAGACCAGAGTAGGGGTTTTCCAGACTGAGTGGAAGTCAAATTCTGACTGTATGCTTGCGTGCGTGGGCTTGTGTGTGCATTAACTGACACGAGCACTACAAACCTTAAACCACTCCTGCTACAGCTGCAGACAACCTCACACAACATGCGCATATACAATACAAACGTGCAAGTCACGCGTAGTGTATGATGGAGAGAGAACCAGTTTTTATTTTAAAATATCTATATTTTCCATCCTTTCACACGAATATTTTGACAATAAAATTCTCATTTATACAAGTTCACGTTTCTTTTCTTTTTTTCATCGGATGTTAATGACGCGCAGTAAATGTCGGCCTACACCTAAAACGCCGCCATTACCTAACTCAAACCTATTTTTCGACGCATCTTAGTTATTACCTACAATTTGATAAACACTTAGAGATGAAGCATAATCAATCAGTATTCATTTTTAAGTAGAATTTCTTTCGTCTTATTTCTCTTGCTTTACTAACATTATTAGTATTAGATGTAATATTATTTGAATTTTTTAGATGCAGCATTGTCAGCTATTATTCAATTTTAGTATTTCTTTTATCTTATCTCTTTTGGTTCATTTATTAGAGTAGTATTAGATATAATGTTACTTGATTATTTTTAGATTAAGCATTACTAACTATTCATTTTTGACTCGTATTTCTTTCATTTTATTTCTCTTGCTTTAATTGTATATTATGTTTCTTGCAGGAAGCATTGTCAGCTATTATTCATTTTTACTAGTATTTCTTTTATCTTATTTCTCTTGGTTCCTTTATAATAGTAGTATTAGATATAATATTACTTGAATTTCTTAGATGAAGACTTGTCAATTATTATTAATTTTTGACTAGAATTTCTTTCATCTTATTTCTCTATCTTTATTTATACTCGTAGTATTAGATTAATATTACTTGATATCTTTTTTTATATCACAACTCCAATATCTTGACTATTTCCTAATCAATGTGGATCCGGAATAAAGAATAAATCCTCAAGCTAGGCTCGAAATCAGATTACTTGAATTACATAGGCTCTTAAATGTTCGTCGGCTAATGTTTAAAATACTTGTTGCACAACAAATATTTACCTTTCTGGATAATGCACTTATTCTAACGCATCTCCTTAACATAAATCGAACATTACACCGCAAAAATTTTAGACCGAAATTTAGTTAATAACAATAATTTTCAATATTCGTAATATACAAGGTGCGGTAGAAATACCTCCCACATATTCCTCCCACATAATGCTAGATGAAGACACCACTGCCAGTAATGGGTTACCATTATGTTGGAGGTATTTCACGGATATATATGTGAGAACTATTTTTGCTGCGCACTATAATGCACACACACAACTAATATTCAGTGGTCACACTCATCCTCCTCAACTTCCGACCAATTTCCTATGCCAACAGGAATTTTATCCTACTTCTCACTGAACAAAACGATCTTTGAAACGTAATCCTGGTTCCTACGAGAAATACTGAACGCAATTTCAACTCTTTCAGTACTTTGCTATTTCCTTATTTATGTTGTTGTGTGTAACACTTTAAAAATCCCTGAAAATAAACAATGAGTCAATAAAAATTTGAATGATTCGTACTAACTACTTGGAAGGGAATCGGAAAAACATGTTTGACTTACATTTTATTTGCAACAAACCGGGACAACAACTATATATATATATATATATATATATATATATATATAGATAGATAGATAGATAGATAGATTTACTAATTAAAAAATATGGTCCCATCGCTACACAGGAATTACCATGTGTCAAAAATCGCATGAAAATGAAACAGTACTAAGGATTTTAATTTAATTCTAAAATTAATTTTAGAGTTTTTAGTTTCTGTTTTTGACACATAGTAATTCCTGTGTAGCGATGGGACCATGTTTTTAAATTAGTAAATGTATAATATTTATTCTCTGCAGAATTATATTGAGCATTGTTTTTTTGTTTTTTTTTAAATAAAAATAATTAATAAGAACACCGGATTATAAATCTTACTCTCTTTTCTCTTTATTTTTTTATATATATATATATATATATATATATATATATATATATATATATATATATACATATATATATATATATATATATATATATATATATATATATATATATATATATACATATATATATATATATATATATATATATATATATATATATATATATATATATATATGAAGAAATATCGTTTTAAGGTGTGCTATATTTATGGGATAAAGTGCTCAATATCAGAGGTAGACCGTATGTAAATATAAATATAAAAGTGAACATTGAAGTCAACACTCAGAGGCGACAGGCTGTTTTCATGCTGGACGCAATCATCAGTTCTTAAATTTAACATTTTGAAATATTAACATTTTTACTTCTGTTTATAAATACTTGTTGCAAAATAAAATATATTTGCCTTGATAAACATTTTTAGAAGCCGGAAGGCGTCGGTAAAGAAAAGTTTACCTATCTTTATCGATCTATCTATCTATATATATATATATATATATATTTATTTAAGAATTATAACATAAATATGTTATAAAATCACTACAAAAGTAGCCATTTTGTTTCAACACCTCCGGTGTCCTATCAAGTGATGATGTTGAATGTAGAATAAATGGTTTTAAAGGTTTCAAATTAATTAACGATCCAGTGGAAAACGCTGTTACATAAGCTAGAATGACCAATCAAAACAAGTATACTAGAATTCAAAAAACTTGACAACGAAGTCAGGTTATAATAGTTATTAAAATCTTTAAAGTTGGGGTTATACTAAAATAGAATTTATTCTAACCAATAAGTATTAAATTATATGACAAAATTTGATATTAAAATTAAAAGTAAAAAATTAGCAATTTTAAAATCTAAATTTAATCTCTATTAAGTTTAAAATTATAATATTACTGAGGAAAAAAGAAAAAATACATATGTTATTCAATTCATTTTTTATTATAACCTTACTATACTTATATATATAAGAGGTGGAAATGTGAGGGAGTGTACGTGCGTGGGTATGTATGTATGTTTTCGTGTGTGTGTGTGTGTGTACATGCGTGTGTGTGTCTGCACGCGTGCGGATCTATATGTGCGTGTGTGTGTGTTTGGTGCCTCGATGGTTTCCGAATTCTTGCATTCTCATGCCCCACGATTACAAATACTAATTTGTGATATACTCAGGAAATAACTGTGTGTGTGTGTGCGCGCGCACGTACACCTGTGTACATATTTGCGCGCACCCATACTTTTGTGTATACATGCATGTATGCATGCGTGTGTATGTATGCCTTTCCGCTTGCATATGTGTGCGAAAGGTGATAGCCAAGCGTTTGTCGATTCTGACCATCACAAAATTACTTCTCGTTTCTACCGTCTCCTTCGATGTGTCCCTTGACCATGTAAACAATGAAGTCACAAAAAATACTACTTATAATGGATTAGTAGGACCGCGAGGTATTGTTTAAATTCATTGAACTTTGGGGTAGATCTTATCCGTAGATCGGTGAAGGCAATGATAATGTTAGCCGTTTCCTTATAAGGAAACATTCGGCATTCAGTGCCCGAACAGCCAGTACTACTTTCGGTTGAAATTTATGAAATCTTTCACTTAAAACAATTTTTCAGGAAAATAGTTTTCTCACGTCCAGTAGCTGTTATCGCTCTTTCCATTATTGATGGGAGTTTCCTTCCTAACCTTTTCTTTGAAGTAGTGTGGAACGCCAACATCTTGATTACGTCATTATTTTCTCATTGAGCTACATGTGCTAGCCATTTGAGTTGTTGCCGTTGTTGGAAGTCCTCAAGTGAATTGGTTTCTGTTATCTGGTACAGTTCTTTATTTGTGATTCTGTAGCGCCAGTTCACAAGGTTTGAAGAAATATGGTCTTCGCCAAAATCCACACGCCTCACTCGCTCGAAGCCATTTTTAACCACTGATCTGATAAAGCCGTTATTTCATGCCTACAGTTTAGATATATATATGGTATTTTTTAAGCGTAAATGTGGCACAATTTCGAAAATATGGAGTACCTAGTGGGGAACGAATTCATTATGCAGTCGTAACTGATGTAATAAGACAAGCTTGCTAATCATTACACCACGTCGAAGTGCCCAATGTTTAGATATATATGAACGAATTTGTCACTATTCACGGCCTTCAAACAATATTTCCATCTGACAAGAATATCTAAAAACATGACTTTAGCTTTAGGTTAATGTTTTGGTTTTGTAGCAGCTTATATTTTTAGATGAAACTATCCCTAGTGCAGCCTATTCTATGTTCAGTTTCTTTATCTCCTATTCTAAAGTTGTTGTAACTGATCGATACACTGAATTATTTAAACTGCTCAGTATTTACTGTTTTTCCTTGCTATAATTATGTCATTATTTTTTCTATTAGGAGAATAGGCCGACTTCTTTTTCTCTTGGGAAAGTAATGAATCCAAATCTTCTCACCCACCCTTGGCTATGGGTTCTATAGCCTTGAATGGAAACAGGTCTAGGAGAAGGAAAACTCTGAATACAAAACTGTATATAAAACTGACGAAGCATGTACTATGCCCCTAAGGAAAGTATCGTTCGTATTGACTCGTTCATCCTGACTACGGCCGAATCCTTTTTCTCTTGGGAAAGGTATATATCCAACTCACCTCCTCCATCCCCGGCTTTGGATTCTATAGCCTTGAGTGGTAACCAATCTAGGAGAAGGAAAATTCTGAATTCGAAACTGTATGTATTCCTGTCGAAGCACATAATATGCAGCTAAGGAAAGGATCGATCACATTGACTTGATCATTCTGACTACGACCGACTTCTTTTTCTTAACTGATTTCAACAGTAAATAACCATCTTTAAAAAAAAAAGCATATAGCTTATGGCTATATCACATTGGAATATTGGTTATTGCAATGTCGAACTTGGTCAGTACTTGGGTTACCAGGTGCTGTAAGCTTGGGTGTGCAGGTGGTGTATTAGAAAGCGGCTCAGAATTAGAAATCAGAATGCTGAGTTCAAATTCCCGTTGAGTTCATTCCAGTCACTTATGCGCAAATACTCTTGAGAAAAGTTATGAATTCATCTCTTCTCCCCCACCCGGACTATGGGTTCTATAGCCTTGGGTAGCAACGAGCCTAGGAGAAGGAAAACTCTGAATTCAAATTATATGTAGTTCGCATTGACTCGATGATCCCGACTACGGATAAAAGTTTAAAATTTAGAAATAAACTATGTTAGTAAAGGGTCAAGGGATATAAACAATTTCGACCAGGATCCGAACACGGTTTGCCGGCTTCAGTTGATAGTCATTATGTGTTCTTCGTCTGCCATCTAAGTTTACAGTGAAGTACTTTTTCCTCTTGAATGGTTCAGACTGCAGATGTAACTACGAAAGCTGATGGTTGAATGTTTTTGTTGTTTTGTAGGCGTGTAAAAAGGGGAACAAATTAATTGATTAAGTGCAGATTTTAAGTGGGTCCGTCACACTGCACAAACAGATGTATGAAAACAATGCTGAAAATATTTCTGCGTGGGTTGCATTTTCCGTTTTTGAAACTGGGTACCTTTATCCCAACACTAAGACCGAGCAAACAAGTGCGGTAGTTACTAAACCACGCAGGGTATTAAGATGAGAGACAATATCGGTTTAATATGTGCTATACGCGTACATATGGGCCAAGGACGAAAATTGTTCAGTCCCCGCAACCATTGTTATGTTGACGTCAGATTCTTCCACAGGGTTGGAATCTCAGAAACTAGATGTCCTTCATAGTTTATGTTATAGATACTTCACTCTGATCTTGTATTTAATCGTTCCTCATTGCTTGCAGCCACGCGTGATATACGCATAGACGAGGCAGATTTTTTGCCATTTCTTTCTGCAGTAGACCAGTTGCCATCCAAGGCTATAGAACCCGGTCTGTCCTACTATTTACTCATAGCTGGGGGAGAAGAAGAGGATTCATACCTTTCCCAACGGTATTAGCACTTAAGTGAATGTAATGGATTCGAGTGGAATTCGAACTCGGCTTTCCGATTCCTCAATCCGAGCCGCTTTCCATTACTCCTTCCCTTTTTAACGTGATATGGCTTGCAGCCATATCACGTTGAAATATCGGTTTCCGTACGATCACCGAAGTTAAGCAACGTCGAACCTTGTCAGTACCTAAATGGATGACCGTTTGGAAATACCAGATGCTGTAAGCTTGCATGTCCGTGTGCCTTAATGGATAGCGACTCAGAATTGTTAATCGTGGAACCAAGTTCCAATTCCTGTTGGGTTCGTTATATTCACTTAGACGCAACTATCATTGGGAAAGTTATGAATCCACCTTTTCTCCCCCCCCCCAAACTATAGGTTAATTAGTAATACTTGTATCACTAAATAGTCACAAAAAAAATCTTACAACCTAAAAATATTTTCTGGCTTTAAATAACCTGCAAAAGGTTGGTAAGCCGTAAAAATCAATCAAAAAGATTTTCTCCTATGACACAAGTTCATTTTTAATATGAGGTGCCATTACTCGTGCAAGGATGAAAATTATAAATTTAGGTAAAATGAGGGAGGTAGTGCAGCAGAGCTAAAATCTCCGGGTCTAAGCTTCCTTCATAATTGTAAGAGGAAGAGGTGACAGATACAAGACTTTGATCCCAGCCAAAATACTGCGTGAAGGCATGCTCCTTTTTATTTGTTTATTCGGTCGACAAATCACCGAGAAAAGCTGTAGTGAGGTCAATACTATGGATCCCACGCTTATAGCTAAACTAAGTTAAATGTAGTCGATACAATGGGGTGTCGTTGGAGTATAGTGATTACCAATTTTATATCATAGAACATTACTACAATATTGAGTTCAATCCAAAATGGATGCGTTACAATTGTAACCGTGTGTCGGACTAAACTAAGTTTTAAAATACTTATTAACGGCGCTTCAAATTCTATATTCTATTAATGGTGTTAATGACAGAGTTTGTAAAATTCATTTCGCACTAATGCTCTTGGAAAAGCTATGAATACATCACTTCCCCCCTTAGATATAGGTTAAACAGTAAGACAGACTGGACTCTCGAGACTTGATTGGTAACCAGTCTAGGGGAAAGACAGCAGTGAATTCAAAACAGTGGTAAAAGTAGCGGGAAACCATTCCACTATCTTTCCCCAAAAGTCATGACAATTTACAGATATTAAAAAGTAAAGGAAGCTGTGGCTAAACATTACCGCTTACGTCTGGAAAGAACCTGTCATTTAAGAAGAATACCATCGCGCGACAGTTATCAATGTTGTCTCATCAATTCGTTAGTGTTGTGATTTCGTTATTAACCGGTGCTTTACTAGTGTGGCCTTGTGCCAGAATAAACTTTGTTTAGGAAATAGCCACGCAACTAATAGTTCCGCGGGCGAATTCGCTATCATTTTCTTCAAGTTGTCTGGGAAAAAAGATATCTCTCTCTTTCAATGTTCCCCCCCTCTCTCTCTCTCTCTCTATCTATCTATCTTTCACTGTTTCTTTCTCTTCCTCTCTCCCCATTCTACAGAAAGAGAGAGAGAGAATGAGACGGAAGCGGGGGTCTGTTAAGATTCTTAGTGTATGAAAGCGTTAATAAATGAATGTTCGTGTTGTGTTCATAAACGCATTCTTCTTTGTTTAAAACCATTTTTTTTTTTTACTTTTTTGTATGTTCGAAAAGAGTGGAAAACGAATATTTTCTAAAAATAGCGGAACTGCACGCATTTCGGCAGTGATTTTTCACATGAACAACAACTCACAAAATTTGACTTCACAGTCCTCGCTCCCTAAACTCTTCACCCACAAAAATTTCCTATGCGCACTAAAAAAAAAAAAAAACTAAAAAAAAAAAAAAAAAAAAAAACTAATCATAATGCCAATCATAATAACAACGTGAAATTAAACACTCTAATCGTGATGTCATGACGATTGTGAAAAAAAAAAAAATGGCTGCTAGTTATTTCACCTTTATTCAGTCATAATTAAGCCCGAAACATTCATATTGCGAAGGACGCTGTCACCTAAATATGTACTCTGGCAGTAGAGGACTGACCAGGGTGTCAGCTTGTCAAGTGGGCGCTGATAGAGTGTGTTCATATGTCAAATAAAAATGCCATAAAGAAACACAGCCGTTTTAGCGTGTTAATTTTAACAGCTTCAAAACGAAACTTCTCTCTATTAATCATCTGAGAGACCCCTTTCTGCTTTTCATCTGCACGGCTGATGCTAACCTCAAGGAGAGAATGGCTCGTTGGGCCTTCTTGGCTATTGAATCTATTACTAGGTCTAAGAAAGTTGGTTCACTATTGTGCTGGACATTTTTTTCTCTCCAGAATCTATATTACGTATTTATCTAGCATTCATCTTTGCTTTGAATATTGCTGACACATATGGTCTGGTGTTCATGCTATATATTTAGAGATTCTTGATAAAATCAAAAGAAGAATCCCCAATGCTACTGGTCCTCATCTCGGCTTCAGTCACTTTCCCACCTCCGCAATATAGCTTCCCTGTGCCTATTCTATAAATACTTTCATGGTAATTATTCTGATGAACTTTCCTCTAAACTTTGGCCCCCTTTTATTTCTGTCCCTATTTTTCTTTATGTTTAATTCCCCATCCCCTCCCTCGTTAGGTGGTCAGTGATGTCAGTTCGCTGGTAGATGCGGGGCGCCTTTTCGTTTCGCGTGAGTGTTTTTTCGTATTTGTTGTTGTGTTTGAATGAGTGCATGTCAGTGTGAGTGCTTGGGATGAATGAATGTTTTATACTATTATAGTCCCGCATTGATTTCGGCCAGTGAATGGATGTTTCTGCCACATTTAGTCATTGTCGGGGGTTTTATCACTAATATTATTTTCTTTAGTTTCTTGTAAATAGTTTTGTATTCATATTTATAAATACTCATTGGGGCTATTTTTAGAATTGTTGTTTTATTCCCCTTCCCCCACAGACAATGAATTGTAAATATGGGGACTAGTTAGTATTTTCATAGAGACAGTGAGGTATTATGGTGAATGTAGTAAGAAAGGTACGTATGAATGTGTTGTTTTGGTGTAAGGAATATTGTTCGTACGATTGGGTCAGTGTTTGCGGCTAGCTAAATTATCGTTAAGACAGAAGAAGACCGTCCTTTCCCCAATCCCCCCTTTTGGGCCATGTGACACATTTCTGTCTATTTTACAGAATAAATATCACTTTCCTGTAAACTTTATAAATTTAAGCACAGTACTAGATTGGCAGTCTCATCACCTTACAGTTGAATTGACTAAATGCAACCGTAAGTTCTATGCTAAGAGTTTCTTTTCTCCCACTTCTCGCTTGTGAAACTTTCTTCCGGCTCCATGCTTTCAACTTTGATCTTCAAAAATGTAAATGCAATGTCAATCGTTATCTTCTATCTTCCTAATTATTCTCCTATTGTTGTTTTCGCTCCTCAATAATGTTTCTCTTTTTCTTATTCTTTCACACTCAGTAACCCCCTGTGTTTTACTGTCTTGCTTGGTGTGAAATAATTAAAAAAAGTAATAAAAACTTTATAAAATCATCTGCACACTATCACTTACTCAAGTACAATGTAAGAGGACATTTTCAAATTTGGAATCATATATGTTGTTATCCACTGAAAAGGAATTGTTAGAGAAATTGGATGCAGAAGTAACTATTGTCAGATTCGCTCAATCATCTAGTGAACACAAACAATTGCACTTAATATAGTGAACTGCATGCAATGCCCTATTGTGCTTTTGAGCTATCTCTTAATGTATAAATTCTACAGTAAATTATTTAAAAATATCAACCAATTACTTAAAATTAAAATAATAATAATTTAATTATAACATACTGTATTCACGTTTGGTATTTACACGCACACGCACACGTCAAACACACGCATATATTTCTTGTGTTCTGACCTGAGGAAGGCTATCGTGAGGTGTCGAAATGCGTAATAAATCTATAAAACAGTTTCCTGCTTGGTCAAATTTATCAAACTTTTCTTGATTCGATAACCTATTTATACACTTATCTACTGCTTGGGGTACCTCGACGCGGTATAATTGTTACAATCGTTACAATTACAACAGAGTAGTAACTTCGGTTCTTACGGGGGGGGGTCCCATATTTTCGGACTTGTGCCACATCTAAGTTACGCTCCGATAATCATTATATCTACTGCCAAAAATATGTGCGCTGTAATTACTAAAATACATGTTTTTCCCCAAAGTTTTAATTACGCCTTTTTTCCATATATATTTTTTTTTCATTTTATGTATTCTTTACAAAAATTAAATGATAGCATTATACTTGTGAGTGAGCCCCCCTTTATCTCCGGGCAACCAATATTTTTAAACCCAGTCTGCCACTGTACTGTAGTCATTGTAAAAAGTCATGTCTTTACACATCAGTTTCACAAGCTATCTGAGAATCCGCAGCAGTCGTGGTAGGTAATACAGTATATATTTACTTCGCGGTGTAATGGTTAGCAAGCTTGTCTTACTAGAACAATTACTACTGAGTAGTGAGTTCAATTCTCACTGGGTACCCCGACTTTCGGCCTTGTGCCACATCTACGCTTGGAAAATCACTATTTGCGTGCATTAAAATTTGCATTATGACATTTAAATGAAACGTCAGAAAATTATTGGGTTTTCAATAAAAAAAAAAATCAGCACCAATAATGGTACTTCATTTTTTTTTTTCATTTAATGCAAATTCAAGAACCAATAATATTAAACAGGATATAAATCCGTGGCGATTAGATACCAAAAATGATACAATTTTGAGTCTTTGAATATGTGATTCCACACAAACTCTGTAAAGTAAACATCCAGCGTATTACGATTTCTGGATCCATGCACTGATTTGATTTTCGTTAGCATCTTTGCTTCATAGGTGATATGCGGCTAATGACTCGAGTAACATTACGGAATAAGAAGTCAGAGAGCCGAGTTCGAATTCCAGTCAAGTTTGTCACGTTCACTTACGCTCAAATACTTTTGGGAAAGGTATGAATCCATCGCTTCTCCATCCAACTTTGGCGTAAATAGCATGTTGATTTTTTTTTGTTATTTACGGCTTATCAACCTTTTACAGGTTATTTAAAGCCAGAAAATATTTTTAGATTGTAAGAATTTTTTCTTTAGATAATAATATTTACTAATGAGAAGAGGTGGATTTATACATTCCGCAAGAGTATTT